TTTTCAATAGAGTTACAAGAGTAGTGGTTGGAGGAAACACCAAATATAAACTAGCATCAAGATCCTTCAGAAGGCACTCTTACACTCCACTACTGATCCTTCATCAGATTGGGAAGAAGTTTGGCTCACAATAGAAGACTAAAGGTAACAAAAGCTACTTAAAGAAGCTTGGCAAAAACAAAAGCTAAAAACAAAGACAATTATATAATAACTTGTAATCCTGGTGCCAACAAAAGTTGTTTTTTGCTGTTGTCAGATGATGTATGCAATCAGGTGTCACTCTTTGTCGATAACTCCACACTAAAGGGGTAATCTTGTTCACAATTAATAATCATCGTGTTTGTTTTCTCTAAGGCTACACTAAGTCTTTTCAACAAATGGAGTTGCACATTTTCTGGATTTTGAGGCTAAAAAAAATTCCAGTAAGTAGGGATTCAAAAGTAGTATGATTCTCTACCCTTTGGTTGGAATCACAAAATTACATTTGCCCAAAAGTCACTAAACTGGGGTCTATAACTGACCACAGAATGCAAAATAATGGAGTAGGGGTTCTGAGCGGCCAGTGGCACAAACCCAGCAAAAATTGACCCAATTACCCCCCTACCTCCCCAGGGGTCAGTGGTATAATATTTTTTCTGAGTTACCAGACAGAAAATGTCAAAATTCTCCTGAAAACAGAACTACCTGCCACCCAAGGGCCCAGAAGGTATTAATTAAAAGTAAATAAGAAAGTCATTCTACCCACCAGGGCCTGCTGCTACCGCTGAGGGACTGGTGAGAACTGTGGGTATGGCAGGAGGTCCTGCAAGTGTTGTTGGCACAATTAAAATAGGGGTTTTGCTTGTGCCTGTTGCCATGGCAGCCTAAAGAGTGATCAAAGCTATTAGCAAACTAAGTTATGAATATGAAGCTACGCCCACATATTTCTTTCAATGCATATGAAATTAATGAAAAAATAAGATACTGTAATCAATACATATGCAAAATAACGGAACTAAAATCATCAAACCTTTAGGGGGTCATAAACAGGTTTCTTTTTAAGGTAGGGATGATAACAGAATCACAGAGGAAGGCACTACCTTCTTTTTTCATCATCATTTTCACTTATTTAAAAAATAACACCACAAAGTGAGAGTTAATTCATGTCAAAATAGTGTACCTTGTAATCAAGTCCCCTTGAGGCTGATTGATCAAGATCAATTTACTCCATTTACTAACTCAGCTAAAAGATATAAAAAGAAGATAATTTTGTCACTCATTTGCCAATTTTCTTTGTGCCATTGGGAAAAGCTAATACTTTTTATATCACAATGTGAAAGGTATATGACTCACATACTGTACATGCTAGAATCAGTTGTCTGTGTTTAACAAAACTACTGCCGATTGACAAATCATGAGAACAGCATGATTGGTGAATTATAAGCTTGGTCAAATAGAATAAAGGAAACATTAGATACTTTTCATTAGTTGTTATATCAAAGAACACAATTTCTAATTCACAAGCTACAAGTGGAGTACTTTGTTGAGATTTGTTGTTTCCTCATTCATTCAGTGTTGAGGATTTTGCAGCTCACAGTCAAAGCTCTGTGATTTTTTTCTCAATGTTGTCGACCTTTGATTGATTGGAAGTTTTAATTGTGCCAGGTTCATTCTTCTTGAATAATCAATCACATTTAAGACCATTTCAAGCTAAAAATAAGAACTGGTGAATTCAGGCCAGAAAGTGGGAAGATATAATAATTATACAAACATTGCTTATTGCTGGTTAGAAGGGGTAGTAGTATAGGTATATATTTATCACATCCTTTGCACCCAGCCTCAGCCCCCCCCTCCCACCACGAAAAAAACAATTTTTTTTAACCAGCAGGAAGTTATGTCCCTCCCAAAAATAATTGTAAAAACATAACCCCCCATTAGTGTTAATTTAAAACTTTCCTTATAATTGCATACATTGTTCTGTTATTATCGTTTGTTTTGCCCAATCAGCATTTTGTTACACACTTTAAATTCAACTTTGTACTTGGTATCATTCCGAACTGAAGATGACAGAAGATCTGCCGAAACATGTTTTTTAATTTTAAAGGTGTCGTTCATTTTCTTAAATTCGTTACATATCTGTTTCTATCCAGACCATTTAAGTATTACCAATTAAAACTGAACTGTAAATGGCATTTGCCATCGATTAACCGAGGGTTTGACCGATATGCGTGAAGCATAACTACACTGATAAAATATTACAAGATCGAATGAATTTGAGCATAGCCCATCCCCCTTAATCGAGAAGAAGCTGAAGTCTGAGCCTACCAGCTTTACTTGCTCAGGTATATTTGACCGTTTCGACTCAACCTTGCCAAACGTTTTGAATAGCATCCAAAAGTTTCAATTCACTTATAAGGGCTTAAAACATTTCATTTCCTTCACCCCGCCATCTTAGAGTGCAGTCGAATAACATCGTCAACACCACGTCGGGAATTTTTATATTAAGCTGCATCCAGAGAACCCCAATCCTTCTCGACATGCTAACTTACCTAACAATAAAGCCTTGTATGTTATCTAGAGTAAGTTCCTCTAAAACTCGCAAGAATCGAACATGAAATCTGCGTTCAATGCAATGCTGGCTCCCTACTACTGAACATTTTTCCGAGAAGTGACGTGTTGGGTATTCCCCAAGTTTTGTTTTCGATTCGGAGAAAGCCGGAAATACATACTAGAAATATGAGAACAGGACTGGAAGTAGTAGGAACATGGAACAGCGGACTTTACCAATACCATGTCACTCTATTAAAGTAAGAGCAAAGGTGTTATTTCAAAGAGATGATCGTTTTTATCGTTGAAAACATAGGCTTCCATACACAGCGGTGGGTCAGAGAAATATTTTATTTCACCTGCACTTCACCCTCATCACGCTTCAGTCCCGTTCCAAGGAAGCAAAAAAGTCGTAATTTCATGCAATGAAAACTCGTGTTTATTGAAACTACATATTACATAAATAACAGGAGACATTATTGCTGAGTGCCTCATAGTTCACACTTTAATCACCTTAGTACTCAGTACTATTTTTAAAAGTTTAATTCTGTTGAACGGAATCGGTGTCTACTTCCAAATCGTTATTCGTTTCTTTCTGATATCTTGCTCTTTCGTTGGCCATTGCAAGTTGTCGCATGTTCAACAGACATCCCGCGGCAGCTTCTTGTAAAGCTGCATCCTCTGAGCCTATCATTTCCAGCAACAGCTAGGAACAAAACATAATATTGATTGACACTGATCAGCGGTCTGACTGGCTGCTGTCAACTATAATTACACTGAAAGCCAAATATGGATTGGAAGCCATCAATGACAACCACGAGAAGGTATCCTTTCTTATCAAAATTTCAGAACGGTGAACTCTGAGCCCTTTGGAACTACGAAAAAGAGAGCAAGAGGGATCTGGCTCTCCTTACGGTATACTATTTATTTCCATTATCATCGTTATTATTATTATTATCATCACTTGTTATGATCATCATCATTAATAATTTGGCGCCATACGAAGCTATTCTAAGTTTCGAAAAAATAACTTGAAAACATGGGAAGATTAAAACATTTTTAAAAGGGCAGTGTGATGAAAATGATGAACGAGAATGAATACTGATGAAGTACAGCAGCAGTCATTCTCGTCTGCTAAACGCGTCTATTTTCTAACTGCCGTTAGAGTGAGCCAACACCTCTGCGTTACCTTGACAACCCCACTGCGGTGCATAGTGATGCAGCTATCAGGATGTTTGCCCAACTGCTCGAGAGCCCGCATTGCCGACCGCTGTACTATAATGTCATGTGACCCAAGGTATTCCACCATTCTTTCTACAGCTCCTTCTTGGGAGAATCGCTTCGCGTTGTTTCCCCATTTGCTGCACATTGCAATAGCTTCAGCCAAATGTCGCCTCAAAATGATGTCAGTCTGTAAACAAAACAAACAATTTCCCCTCAAACTGGTGAGCGTTTGTAGGCTCTCTTCGTACCCAAATCATCTCGGCAATTATATTGCAACTTAGTTCTATAGTAATGAGTTAAAGGCTTACCTTATGCGTGAGTTTAGCCAGGTGAGGGACAACCTCGTAATCAGTTATGACTCCCAAGTTCTCCCAATCACATGCCACAACTGATATCACTGCGCATGCGCTAGTGAGGACCTAAAAACGTTTCAATGCATTTAGTTGGAGTAGTCTAGAGTGATTTTTACTGACTGAAATTTTTTTCGCTGTCGCTCGTCAGCTATGATAAACAAAGGAAGAGCAAAACTAATTTGCAAGCTACCACGTGTAAAATGGTTTAAGTGAATATTTTTACTGAGATAACCTCCAAATCGGCAGATTTGAGCAGGCGAACAGTCAGATCCAGTCCTCCAACAAATGATCGCGCGGTTTCCCAGGCCTCCTACGAGTTAAAAAATGGTTGCGGTAAAATATTTCGTGGATACATTCCATTATGTTGTCAGACGGTGATATTGCATTTTTCTCATACCGGTGTATCTTGCATCAGTCTGTATACAGCCCATGCTCCACCTGAGACCACCTAATCCACAGGAAAATAAGTCATATCATGAACAGGAATTCAACTGGATGTCTAGATAATTGTAATCAATTATAGGTCTAGACGAAAATTCTGCTCACTTGATTGTTCCTTGATTTCATAAGAGACCACAGTAGCCTTAGGCCTTCCAATCTGTTGAAAACTCTGAAAATACGGACATAAATAAATGAGTTCATATTAGAATAATCGGGTCTCATGTTAGAATAATCGGTCTCCTTTTGAGAAGGAGGCACATGGCTATTTCTTACGCTCGGCAGCTGCTGTTCGCAGCGCATGCTGCGATGGCTCTCGCCGCTGTACCAGTTAGCTCTTCATTGGGGATATTCAGAATGTCCACTAAGGTTTTACATCCCTTGCATCGTAAAATTTCCAGCGGAGCCTTAGGGTTTTTGGCAATCTCTCCAATGGCTCCAACAATATGGAGTTGAACCTTTAGTGAAAAATGAGCAAAATTTAAGATATCATCAGTTCCTATTGAGGGAAGTGGGTGGGGAGGGCAGTCTAGGGCATATTTATGATACCAATGACCAAGTAACGTGTATTTCTACATACAACTCTCTGAACCCCACAAGTCAAGATAAGATAAGGTATCAAAAAAGTTAGGTGCCTAAACGTGTAACCTCAAAAGTGATCCTAAAAAAAAAAAAAGAAGAAATGTTACTGATATTTAAAACTTGAAATCAATCGATTTGTTACCACACAATCTCGAACACTAAAGGAAAATTTCATGCAGCATCGCCATATTAATTGTGGATTTCTTTTTGACAGAGCCAGTAAAGATTTTTGACACTTACTTGTTCAGGGAGGTCCTCTTCTTCTTCTTCATTCTGAAGTAGATTAACAAGTATTTCTAATACCTTCATCTCCATCAACCTAGATCAAAAAGAAAGACTTCCAGTTTTTTGACACGGAGGCATTTTCACGAAAGTTGGAGTCAAAAGCTCTAGGAATTCGATCCTTCTTTTAAACTAGTTTTGCAGTATCAAATGAGTCATGGAGGCCGACGAGACGACAGTTTACTAAACGAAGACACAAAACCCAAGGTTGTGTTCCCAGAAGAACAAAATTCTACCCTTGTGACCGAAGCCAAAATGCTTACTTTTTGACATTGTAATCGCTGATAGCACATTTCCAAATTGCACCTGTTACGGCCGCCAGCAGCTTCTTATTATCATGGCGGGAAAGAAGTGAAACAAGCGTGTTCAGGCCCCCGCAGTCATATACAGCTTTCCTTGTTTGTTCGTCGACAGCACACTACGGAGAAATTGTGGAAAAGTTAAACAGACAAGAGAAGAGGTAGTAAGTTAGGTTTATGACTTGAAATACCTAGAATGGAGTGCCTTCGTCTGAAACTCTGAATGTCTCTATCTCTCTGTCATCGTTTCTGACACGATTCGTTGATCAGTGGTAGCGCTGGCCAAAAGGATCGCAGCCATGGGGTTGAGCGTGAAAACTTACCTTGAATATGGCGTTGGCGCAGTAACCCTGAAGTTCTTCGTTGTCGGTCAACAAGCGACGAACGATCGCTGCTATCATTTTCTCTTTGTAGAAAGCCTGTCTGAAGCGAGTCTGACAATGACAAGTGATGATAATGAGAGATCTGATTCAACTGTAGCAATTCCATCAGCGACTTTTTGATTGAGACGCATTCGATACAAAGTAAGTTGCGTTTTCACTGTTATTTTGAATCATTTTCAATAAAACGTTGCTGTAAGAGTGGATAGTAAAGTAAGAATTATTCAATAGGGCACATAACATGTATATTATTTAGCTATGTTATGTCTTAATGAATATCACCTCCACTGCACATTCTTGAACAAGTCCTACGATAGGAACAAGGAACTCGTCTTTGTCCATGGTAATTAGTCTGGCTAACATTGGTACGCTTCCGGCATTGAAAATTGCTGACCTAAGAGGAAAAGATTAGAAAAAGTTAGAAACATCGCCGAAATTTCTTCTAAACGAACCGCATTTTGATAAGAAATACTGTCGTTTTTATTCGCAGTTCTTGTGCACCTATGCTACTTATGTAAAAGTTACAACCAAACACACTTGACACAACCGACCTACTGCGCGTGCTCTTGCTGCAGCTCCAAAGTGCAAGGGCAGCATTACGTGCAACTTCAAGGTCCGCTCCAAGTTGGCCTGGAGACCCATTACCAGAAAGTTTCCTTCCAGTAGGTTGTCGTTCTTCGTAGTTTAGCAGACTAACCTAATACAAGAAATGTACGCATTTAGGAGACTTAGAGGATAAATGGTCACGTGTTGTACGCTTGGATCGTACTTTCTAGAATCTATAAATTTGCAAAGATGCTTTCAGCCGGAGGTCATCCACTCTCCAATGTATGAAGCGACCAGGAGTATTGCACCCCTCCCAGGATGAGACGCCAGTCCAACGTGGATTACCTCCTCAGTATTTTGTTGGGTTTTCTCAACAGTTCCCTGTACCCATTTATACTCCAGAGTGGAGAGAGGCACTGGGGAAAGTGACTTGCCCAGGAACACGACACAGTGACTTAGCCAAGACTCGAATCTACACTTCTGCCCGTGTATGGTCCCTTGGAAATATATACAGGTCCCTGAAAATTGTGTGCGGAAACCCAACGAAATGCTGGTAATTATAATATATACATGGTAATGTTGGATTTAATTTCTAGCTGATGCCTAGCATAGCTCTTTGAGAGTAACTTCGTTTCCTTGAAAAGTAGAAAGAAGAGAGCACTGGAAAGTTTTTTACTGGGAAGGTTTAAGACCCTTTGATCTAAAAATTTTCCCAGCTCCTGATCTCACCAATGTTTGTAATCCACCATGTTTTTTTAGAATATTTCTTCCTACACTGGATTTTGCCATGTTAGCCAGGTTAGCTGCCGCTAAACTTTGCACCTCCTTAGGAGCATCAGTTATGAGATCGATCAGGATCTGAACGCCTACAAAACGAAAGATCATCGTTGAAATTAAATTATCCATTCTGATTGAGATGTTAAACTTTGTTTTTCAAGTACGAGATGAAAAAAATGCTATCACTACACTGACTGAGATACGTTTGGGAGTGAGGTCATTTATAAGACTCATCTGTGGAAAAACCGTCCTGTC